TTTTTTTTTTTTTTTTTTTTTTTTTTTTCCCCTTGCGATGAATCAATCACCTTGTTTCTTTGGACTTGTTCTTCAATTGGATTCTTGTCTGGAGATTCATCAAGCAAAAAAGCGTCCTCCTCCTTTTTATGCTATACTTCGGAAAGTTTTTTTTTTTGTTTTTCGCCATTGATTTCCAATCAGGTGGCTCACATAAGCCGTCGGGAGTTCAAGGTTAAACTTCTCGGCACTTCAGTTCAACTTGTCCCGCCCGCTCATTTGCCAATTGTTCCTTTTTTTTTCCTTTTTCGCCTCCACCCATGTATATCCGATGGATGGTTTTTCTTCCGATTCATTAGTAATGTTATTTCATTATCAATCACAACTAGTAGTACTTTCATACTACATACTAGATGGCGCGATGTATGGAGTAGAATATGCCAGATGACGCCAGGGACCAAATTACGAGTATTCAGGGGACTAGTCGATAGAATTGTGTATGACGTACTTTCCTACAGGTTTAGTCATCTCTGTCGATAACTATGTATCTCAAGTTCTCAACCACGGCCGTCATGTCTACCCTGGGGATAGGACTCTTCGGTGATATGTGAATTTTACCACGACAACCTGTCCATGTTATAATACTAAACAGGGAAAATGATATTGACATCCCATTGGACACTTGGACCAAGGCAAAGCATCAGACAGGGTATATGTACGCCGTCGCATTATATTTCCATCCACAAGGCGGTCCCTATACTAAGAAGCGTCCGCCCGTAATCCACCGGAACACCTTCAATGCTATCTGGGTCGGCGTTCTTCGCCACCGGTAGAAGAAGAGCAAAGAGTAATAAAACGAAGTATCCAAAAACAAAACAAAAAAAAAAAATGAATAAAGCAAAGCCACTGAACCTATGGTATACTGCCATCGCCATCATACATATTCATCAGACAAATACGAAACTATTGCCATGCTGCAGGGTATTTGAGAACGGAAATCGAAGATGGAAAAAAAAAATAAAAATAAATAAATCAGAAATCAACTCTCAAGGGTTCGTGCGGCAGCCTCAAGCTGCGCATTGAACGCTTTGATCTGGTTCAAGAGACCCCCTTGCGCTCCAGGGGCGCGGGAGCTCACGTTGTCCGCAACACTACGGAGCATGAACTCTAGTCCAACGGTCAAAGAGGGTTCGGACGAACCTGGCTCGTCCGAGTCGCCTGCAGGCCGGTTCTGGCTTCGTTCGAGGGCTAAGTCTAGGCTGTGTAGGGAATTATTGATGTTGGTGCGCGCCTAGTATGGTGTTAGCTACAACGTCAAGCGACAACGGTATTGTTGCGCGGGCCGACTTACCAGGCTTGCATTTTCCTCCTCCGTGTGCTTCCTGCGTACTGCATCCATCTGCAATGCCACGACCTCCCTTTCTTTTCGTAGTTGATACAGTCGGGTGCGCATATCCATCATGTCCCGCTTGGCCTTCTTCAGTTTGACCCCCAATACGAAGTTACTGTCGAGCATTTCGCTCAGTTCAAAGAGGCGTCCTTCGAGCTCGGTGCCGAATGCTTCCACGGCTTTTTTCTTGGTGGTCCACTCTGAGCGTCGTGCTGCATTCCCCTCGTTGGAGATTCCGTTCGTGAGTGTGGTAAGCGTCTTCTCGAGTGTTTCTCGGCAGATTTGACTAAGAACATCGGCGACATTCACGCCTCCCCTACTAGGGAGTTTAGTCTTCTGTCTCGTCGAGAGCTCATCGGCAGATTCCTCCTCCTCGTCGGATTCCTCGGAAGGTTGAACATCGCCTCCAAGAGAAGCGACATTAGCGAGACGGTGGACAGTTACAGGAACTGTCTCTCCACGAGGCTGTCTGGGCTTCCTTCTAGTCGTGCGAGAAGCCTCCTCCCCACTTTCATTCTGAGCCTCAGGGTCTTCCTCACGCTGGGTGACTTCAGGACCCTTATGGGATAGTGAAGGTCGGCCGCGACCACGTTTGGGAGCTGGCGCTGGCTCTGGCTCCTCGGGAGCTTCGGTTTGGCCCTCAGGCTCTGGCTCCGGTTCTCGCTCCTCTTTTGATCTTCTTCCTCGCTTCCTCTTTTCACCAGCTGATTTTGCCTCCTTTGAAGATCCAGGGTCAAGCTCAGCTTGGGTCTCCGGCTCCTGTTCAGGTTCTTGGTATGACCTTCCTCTCCGTTTCCTCTTTTCGGTAGCTGGTCCAGGCTCCTCAGGAGCTTCAGGTTGGCGCTCAGGTTCTAGCTCCAGCTCTTGCTCCCCTCTGGCCCTTCTTCCTCGCTTTCTCTTCTCGGGAGCTGATTCAGACTCTCTTGAAACCTCGGGCTCGGGCTCCACCTCCGGTTCTACCTCCTGCTCCTGCTCCTGGTCTGGCCTCTTTCTGCGTTTCCTCATTTCGACAGCTGGTTTGGGTTCTTTTGGAACCTCGGACTCGTTCTGAGGTTCACTCTGGGGCTGCAGCTCAGGCTCCGGCTCTGACTCCTCTTTTGACCTCCTTCCTCGTTTCCTCTTTTCGCCAGCTGGTTTGGGCTCCTTTGAACCTTCTGTTTCAACCTCCGGCTCAGGCTCGGATTCCAGCCTTTTTCTCTGTTTTCTCTTCTCACCAGCTGGTCCTGGTGCCTCTACACTCTCCAGCGACTGGAGAGCTTTCTTACCGGGACGTCCAACTTGCCTTTGTGTGTGATTCGTCTCCTTTGACTTTTGGCGCAATTGGCGACTTCTTTCAGATGAAGCCATATCATCCTCCTCCGCTACAGTACCCTCACCCATAGGCTGGCCATTTTGCGTTTCACTGGCAGCAGAATCTTCCGTCGGCTCTTTTGCTTTTCTACCCCGAGGCCTTTTCGTTGTCTGTTGCTGGGTCGGTATGCTCTCGCCCGGCATGATTTCGGTTGAGGCGGCCTCATTCTGCGCGCTCCCTTCATTTGTTGCTGGGGATGATTGTGCTGTTGTTCGCGGTCGGCCTCTGGACCGTCTCCCAGGCTGTGAATTAGGAGAGTCCGCTTCCATGGACTTATCACGATTCGTCTCCAATGATAGCTCCTGTGGCGCTGGCTGCTGTGTGGTCTCAGTCTCAGTCTCCGGCCGCTCAGTACTCTGGGGCCGTCGCTGATCGGCACTGGGCCCTCGTCGTTTACGCTTGCCGTTCGTGGTGGCTTCAAGCGCCGGCGTTCCATCTGCCCCGGAAGACTCGTTTGGAGGCTCCGTGGACTTCTGGTTCATATCATTTTGGTCTGAACGTTCATCCTCCGGGATGGGCGGCTCAGCTGCCGGGGTGTCCGATACCATGGCGGTAGTCAAATCGAGCGCTTCTTGGGGTGCCTGCTCCGTCTGGGGTGTATCTATAGTAGTTTGCATGCTTGGGGGTTCGTCGCGTGGTTCCGTCGGCTTGCTAGACACAGGCGCGCTTGTATGTACGCCATTTTGGAGAACTGGCGAGTCTCGTTTATCCTGTTGCGTGACTTCTGGCTCGACGGATACTCTCGGACTCTGGCTAGGGAGCTCTATGGTGGTGTTAGATAGTAGATAGAATCATGATAATATTCCATGCACATACCAATCTTTCTTCGCTTGCCGCTTCGTCCAAGGTCCAACGCATCATCTTCCGGTATGTCAAATGTTGATGGTCGCTCGGGGAGCTGATTACGCGCCCCGCCCGGAGTTCGGAGCTGTCCACTATCTTGTGATGATGGTGGAAGCTGTTTTCCTGGCGATAACAAAGGAGGTTGCGTATTCTCCGAAGCTGAAGGTGGCTGTGGTGCGGCGAGCGGTTCGGTGGGAATGTCAACATCGACGGGTTGCGACGCGGCTTGAGGCGGCTCTTCGGGCGGGGGAGCGAGACCGAAAGCAAAGCCAAAATTCACTTCCTTGATCTTGCGTGTCCTAGTCCATGATTTACAATGTCAGCTCTTTGTGGACTTCTTCAATCGGTCGCGGGGTAAGGCCAGCGCGTACCCAGCGCCGCGCTGCCGCATTTGCAGCCGCTCCTCTCGATCTGCGGGATTCGTTAGTTTGAAGATAGATTCAGCGGCTTCATGAGTGCATACTGGAGGCCATGATCGAGAAGCGGCGCCTCGGCGAGCTCAACGCGCAAATCTACGCGCAGTTTGAGGGTAAAGGTCCAAGGAGGTGTTGCGCCGAAATCAATGATGGAGCGTGTAATCGATCATACTTTCGGGGATGCTGAGTTACCGAAAATAGTTTGGTCGTTCTGGTTCGGGAAAGGCGTGGCTTCGATGCTTGGCAGCAAGTATTCTTGCTCGCTGCGCTGGATATCTTTTTTGTATATAACGGAAATTATGTGGTGAGGTTTCTAGACCGTATCGGTAGGTATAACTGGTAGAAAGAGATCCACGAAAAGGTGAAAAGCAGAAGAAAAATAGGTAGTAGAGGAATGTGGGAAAAGTAAAGGAGCCATATATATTCTTCAACCCATAAAGCCGCTCATAGTTCAAGACTGCTAATCATGTGGGATCCAGTGACTAGGTGAGCTTGTGAAGAATAGTAGAACTGAAACCGACAGAGCCGAACAAGCATGCTATGGACATATATTCCTTGAACTGCCAGAACTTAGTACAGTGAGAGTGATTGATAAACCAGGTCAAGTCGATTTCTGGCTTTCTGAGGGTATTCCGTTCAGCCCAAAACGGTTTGGCGGCTTTAGTCGCTCCGCCCGAGTTGATCACCAAAGGAAGTTCAATCTTCTCCGCATATACTTTCTGGAATTTGGCCCTGAAAGCCGAGAAATCTCAATTGACACCACCAGTGCTAAGCTGACCGAACCGTACTATCTCTTGCTCAAGTGTTTAGACCATTGTCGCAGTCATGGGTTGGTTCTGGGGCAACTCGAATCAAGACGACCCTGTCAAGAAGCTTGACCCGGGTCTCCGAGAATATCTCGAACATGAAGCCCCAAAGAAATACGTCCCTGCGACCGCAGTGCCCCCGGATCCTTCCAAGACAGGAGATGCACAAGCTCAATCAGCGCAACCAGCCGAAAACACCGAGCCTCCGAAACCTGCGGTTCCTGCTGCCTCACTTTACCCCGACGGCCGTTACGCCCATCTCTGGAAGACTTACAAACCGCCAACCGAGGAAAACACTGAAGTGAAGGGCGCTTCCAGGGTGATTGAAAAGTACAAGTCACGCAATGATACCGTACACCGCGCAGCGATGGAGAACTGCGCACTGGAACATGAGGATTTGACGTTGTGTTTCCAAAACGGAAACTTGCAGAAACGACTCATGTCCCGTATGACTTTGTGCTCCGAGGAAAATGGGAAATTCTCTCGGTGCTTTACTACTCAAGCTGTAAGTGAAGACCTCGCGGAACTTATGCCTTCAGCCTTTCTGCCTTCGTCGCGGCTGCTGCTGGACAATTGCTAATGTGGGATTAGAAATTCCTCCAGGCATTGGGCTACTCCTCCTCGTTTGAATGGGACGACGAGCGAGAGGAAAAGATCCAGATGCACGCCGATAAGCTCTACCATGAGATGCTGGATTATGAGAAACAAGTTGAGGAGGCCCGAGCGGCTGGCCAGGAACCTCCGCCTCTCACATCCCTCTTCAATCCCCAGGGAAAAACCCAGCCGCAGAAGGCCGAAAATACCTCAGGCTCCCTGGAAATCCCCGGAGGCGAGGCCATTCCGCCCGGATTCAAGCCATCCAAGCCATTGGAACAACTCACACCACATGAACGCGAGCTGGAGATCCGCTCCCACTATGCACAACTGGAACAGCAGAAGAGGTACGCGCAAGAGGCATCTCCTTTCATAAAGACTCATGACGATGCGCGCCAGAAACGGCGAGAGAAAGCCGTCAGCTGGTTTGGAGAAACAATAGGCAAATGGGTTACATAGAATTCCCAATTGGCATTGGCGGTTTCATGGTGCCTTGGGAAGGTTTCATTCTTCTTGTATTATTATTATATATTATTATCTTTGTTACTCTTGTTGTTACCCAATACCTAGTCGGATTTGAACACGAGGGCGCATCTTTGAGGAGAATTGAATTGATATGATAGCGAGACATGCCAATATCAAATGAATCTGATGACTATCTAGAGGTATATGACCAGGAATGATAGAATGTAGTGAAGGGTTAAACCAAATTTAGAAAAATTAAAATACAAAATACAAAGATACAAATCGCAGGAAATGAAACCTATAGACAAGGAGGTCTTACCAGGTGCATTTGTACGCAAGAGGGGAGTATACCAGCACTACTAATAAGTAGTATCAAAGGACTAAAGTTGAAACAGCTGACGGTCACGCAGTCGCTCATTTGTCAGGCGCGTTCGAGACACGAGAAAGTCCAACACGGGAAATGACGAACTGCAATTCAAGTCGACATCACCACTTGCTGTCTCTTCCTTTTTTCCCTTGGTACATACCCGGATTCACCCTCTTAGGTAATTCCACCGTTTGAAAATAACTTCCACTTCCCTACCCCCCCCAACTTTCCCCATCTGTGGCGCCAAACGTCCTCCGTTGCCCTCGTCACTCTGTTCCACGGCTCCTAATTAACCTCCGCACAGGTTCTCCTACTCCTCTACTCTACCCACTGACTTGACCTGCAACGACTCCTCCCCTCTCTTTTAACACAACGTCTTTCTTTTCCCGCGAAACCCTGTTTCCAATCAGATACACTCTGGTCACCGTCCACCAGTCTTTGGGGAGCCCATTGGAGCTCCCGTGCTCGCCATGAAGGCTACCCCGTTGCTCATCGCATGGCACAACGATAATGCCCCAATCTACTCGGTTCATTTCGACCCCAATGGGAAAGGGCGCCTGGCGACGGCCGGAAAGTATGCTTCTATGTTTTTATACTTGATTTGAAGAGCTGGGTACTAATACGTTCGCTCTATTCTATAGTGACAACAATGTCCGCGTACGGTCCCCTCACCACCTTATCTTTCCCCTCGTGACCTCCCCTTCTTGTGATCATACCCACCATTTCTGACAGAAACCACCATAGCTATGGAGAGTGGAATCAACAGGCGAAGAACGAAAGGTGTCCTACCTGAGTACACTGGTGAAACATACACAAGCCGTCAATGTCGTTCGGTTCAGTCCAAAAGGTGCGGGTTGCAATCCTTCACGCGGGGACCGTTTTCCCGTGGTAGCTAACCTCTTACATTTAGGCGAGATGCTGGCATCTGCTGGAGACGACGGTAACGTGCTCCTTTGGGTACCGTCGGAGCTGCAGACCCAGGCTCCACTGGGAGAGGATCGGTCGGATGATAAAGAGACATGGAGGGTGAAGCATATGTGTCGCTCTTCCGGAGCTGAAATTTATGACCTGGCGTGGTCCCCGGACGGCGTGTTCATCATCACAGGGAGTATGGACAATATTGCGCGGATATATAACGCCCAAACAGGTACGTTGCTTCCCAACCTGGACTTCGTCTTCGTGCTCCTCCTTTCCGTCAATGGGTTCCTGATGTTTGAAACTCGCAGGACAAATGGTGCGCCAGATCGCGGAACATTCGCATTATGTTCAAGGAGTGGCTTGGGATCCCCTCAACGAATTTGTCGCTACACAGTCATCGGACAGATCTGTACACATCTATAGCCTGAAGACAAAAGATGGCCAGTTCACACTTACCTCTCATGGCAAGTTTTTGAAGATGGACTTGCCAGCCAAGCGTATCTCGGCCAGTCCGGCTCCCCAGGACACCTCCGTCCGGTCGCAACCGGCTACTGCCAGTGCAGCTGCAATCACTTCTCCAGCGCCGTCGACTCCGGGCACGCCAATGGCTAACTTGCCAATGGACCCTCCGCCCGTTTCCCATAGTCGCAGGTCGTCATTTGGTTCCTCCCCATCAATCCGCCGCTCTGCGTCCCCCGCGCCATCTCTACCGTTGCCAGCGGTGAAGCCTCTGGAAGTACCATCACCGGGGCTTCTAGGTGGGCTGGGCGTGAAGAATGCTAACATCTATGCCAATGAAACTTTCACGTCCTTTTTTAGGCGATTGACTTTCGCTCCCGATGGCAGCTTGCTGTTTACACCGGCGGGTCAGTACAAGACTTCGCATATGTCTGCGACAGATCCCACCAAAACTACGGACGAGATCATCAACACCGTTTACGTTTATACCCGGGCAGGTTTCAACAAACCTCCAATCTCCCACCTTCCAGGCCACAAGAAGCCTTCTGTTGCGGTGAAATGCTCTCCCATCTTCTATACATTGCGACAGGCCTCCCAGCCGGCTCGTCATATTACTTTGGATACTTCTTCTGGAGAGGAAACATTTGCCTCTCTTCCTGATCCTGTAGTAAATTCGACCACTGACCGTCCATCTATGGAGCCTCCAACGTCGGCACATACCGCGGGCGACACGGCAAAGATCAACCAGACATCCAAGGACGAAAGCCCTTCCACCACTCCAGGACCAATGCCTGTTTTTGCATTACCATACCGAATCGTATATGCAGTGGCTACTCAGGACTCCGTCTTGGTGTATGATACCCAGCAACAAGCTCCGATTTGCGTAGTCAGCAATTTACATTTCGCAACCTTTACTGACTTGACATGGTATGTCGATTTCCTTACCCGGGCCGTGTCGTAATTTAACAATGGACTAGGTCGAACGATGGTTTGACATTGATAATGAGCTCATCGGATGGCTTTTGCTCTACTCTTACGTTTGCACCAGGAGAGTTGGGTCAACCCTATACTGCTCCAGTGTCAACCGCCCACCAGACTTCAACTTCTGGCGTACAGTCCACGGGTCATGCACCAAACTCGGCGAAACAAATCCCGGGAATGGCTCCAGGCAACGCAACTCCAATACCACCAGTGCCTCCGGCAAGCCCTGCGCGGTCTAACTCTGTATCCTCGATTGCTACGCAATCTACTGCGCAGCAAGCAACGGGATCTGTTGTCAATAACCCGACACCGACACTCGGATCTGTGCCGTTAGTCACAGCAACGCATTCGTCACAACCACCAACTCTGCCACTTACTACGCCGCCGCAGACCCCGATGTCGGCTGTCTCTCAGAGCGGGACAAGCGCTGTCAATAACAGTGTTCTAGGCAAGCGAGCCAGCGAGTCTGAAAAAGAGGAAATGAAGGATCAGCATTCTGTTCCACAAGTACAACAGCCGAAGAAGAGACGAGTAGCACCGACTCTCGTGTCCACCGGCAACGGCCCCTCATCCTCGAAAGATGGTTCCCAGAATACCGACGTTGGTGGCTAATGCTCCTTGTTCCACCTTGTTCCACCAAGCTCCACTTAAACCTTCCCAGACGGATGTATAAAACCCTGTTCTTTGCCTACTGAGTCGACTGCGGATGACTCGAGTGCCTATGATATCTTTGTTATGAGTAATGTGTTCTTTTCCTTCCGTCCTACAAGACTCCGCATCATGTTTACGTCCTGTGGGAATCACCTACCGTGTTCTGGGATCTTGGTAGAGTTTAATAGTTATGCATCTGCTCACTGTTGGCGCTTCATCTTTCTATATTCTGTTATTCCTTCTATTATTGTTACCCAATCGGCACTCTTCGGGATACCTCTGCATTTGCGGTCTTTCAACCCTCTTCTCGCCGAACAAGCTTGCAGTATTTAGGCGCGAGGTCGAATTTATTGGTGTTATTATTCAACGACTGCCTGTTTTCTGGGCCTTGCGCGTCATGCTCCGATTGCCTTTCCGTGTTCACGAAGAATATCGCGTCGGTTGGGTGGTGAATGGTATGCTTTTATGATTGTGATCAGAGCAGACATCTCGATGATTATCATGTGTATGCTAGGCGATATTTCTTGGGAACACAATATTGTTCATGACGGCTACTTTGTTTTGATATCCGATAAGCCATGTTATATCGTCGTTACGTTGATGTAAAGCTTAATCTAGTAAGATTAAAAAAAAATACATTCTTCTGTCTACTTCTCTAGATACATTAATTACCATTATATCCCTTTCGACTTCGTTTATAATAGGAAACAACGACCTAGACAAATGACGAAGGACAATGAGAAGGCCTGAAACTACACTTGTTCCAGGAGAAACCGAAAGAAAAGGTCGTAGAGGATATTGTTGGTTGAGCTTGGACTTGAGAATGGTTGTCAAGAAGCGTGGATCTTTCAGTGGGTTGTGCTGACCCCGTTGGTTGTGACATTCAGCCCATTATCCCCATTCCCGCTTTGACAATTATGACAACCGTTCGTTTTCGGAGAACATAGGGCATTTACAACGCTTGCCACGCTCATGTCACCGGGGAGCACGGCTTTGGCCTCGGTAGCATGGACGCCGACGGTAAGGGTGGTAACGCTTGAGACTATGCCAGCAGATTGTAAGCGGTTTGCCCAGCGGAATAGAGCTTCATCACCGCGGGAGCCGCCCGCTACAAACAGGAAATCAGGCTTTTGACCTAACTGGCCCACGATGGATTCCGCAGCTTTGGCCTTTGTAATGTCCAAGGGTTCGACGCTCACTGCACCATCTGTAAGAACAATCCGGATGGCTTCGCTGCCACGTGTGCCGTTGATCTGATCAGCCAGATCAGAGGCCTGACGGGCAGCAATTTCAGGATCATGAGCGTGATTATACAGAAAGCTTAGTATGCAGCGGCGCTCTTCCAACTGGCTTCCCTCAGTCCGTTCTTGGTAGTACTGGATGACTTTGCGAATTCCATTCCTCCAGTCTTTGGCCTTCGCCATGTCCACCAACGCCCGCCACTGAGTGTCTCCAATGCCACGTACGAAGCAGCCGTTCTCGGCGATCAGTCCCACTCGACAGGACACTTCTTTAAAACTAGATTCAAGCTGTTCTGGGCTTTTGTTACTAGTCACGTATACTTTATTCTTCGGGTCAAGGAGCAAGCGGTCCAGGAGAGAGCCCAATTCGAAGGAAGACTTCGCGTCATCGGATTGAAGAACCCCGTCGTCCTCGAGGAAGAAGAGCCGTGAGTTGGATTTCTCATATGATTCTTGTAAGCTGTGTACTGAAAGAGATGAGACTTGACTGAGCTCGCGAGATAGCTGCGTGCTGTGGGCCTTGTGGAGAGCTGTCTGAAACGACTTGTACCACGCGATAGCAGTACAAGGTGCCTTTTTTTCAAGCAGATATTCCCAGTTACGCTGTTTCTGATCTGGTGACATCTCAAGCGCCTTGTGGATTGTATCTGCAACTTCTTTGTAGTCCCATGGGTTGACAAGCAATTCATGACCACTGAATATTGAAGCGCTCCCAGTGAATTCACTAAGAATGAGAGAGCCATGGCGCTGGGACGTAACCTTCCCATCTTGACAATGGAGATAATCGTGACTTGTAAGGTTCATACCTTCCCTCAGACTTGTCACCATGAAGATGTCAGCCACGCTCATCAAAGCTAAAAACTGCGAGTAACTGATATCTTGTCTTAAGAGTACGAGAGGTTGATGCGTTAATGTTGAATAATTAGAATTTATCCTCATGGCAATCTTCGAGACTTGCGCCTCCAACTCAGGTAGCTCCGACGCCGAGGCGACTTGAACGAGGACAACCTGGATCAGTTAGCATACAAAATCTGGGGGAATTGGAAAGGCTCAGCTAGGACATACATGATCTCTCCACTTCGGGTATCTTTTCAGAAATAGCTCATAAGCTAATAGCTTCTGCTTGATACCGCCGGGTGCATCAAGCCTATCTCGAGCGACGATCAGACGTTTCCCACTATACCTGGAAATAATGTTTGCAATCCAATCCTTCACCTCGGCTGTCTGGCGCAGCTCATCAAGTGCTTGATAATCGATCCCGATAGGCAAACGTTTCACGTGGACGAAGCGTTGTGGAAGTTGGACTCCATCGACGGACACCTCCAAACTTAGGAGCCGACTACATGACTGAAGAAAGTGGTAACAATATTCCTCTGTCTGGAAAGAAACGAGATCCGCGCCCAGAAGGCCGTTGAGTAAAGCACCTCGTGCATTGAGGCACCTGAAAATTTCAGAAGAGGGGAATGCAGCATGCATGGAGAAGCCGATTTCTGCGCCTGGCAGCTTCTCCCGGAGCAACGCTGGCAGGAGTAAAAGATGATAATCATGAATCCAGATACTATCTCCAGGGCGCCAACACGAGGCGATGGTGTTCGCAAATGCCTCGTTTACTTTCATGTATTGCTTCCAGGAGTAGTCGTCGTACTGGGTGTGTCGAGGGCTTTCTTGCATCTGATAATGAAAAGCTGGCCAGAGGACTGCGCGACAAAAGTGCGAGTAGTGCCCTTCAAACTCCTCATCGCCGACAAAGACTGTGAGGGAGTTGTAGTTATCCTCGAGCGTCTCTCCGATTCTGGCGCGTGTTTCATCTTTAAGTGAATCGGTCGGCATACCCAGAGTGCCTACCCACATCTTGTCTGACAGAATTCCTGCTCGTTCAGCAGCATTGACAGCATTTCGCATACCGCCATTGCCCTGTTCTGCTGATTTCACAACCCAATCATGGTCACAAAGTAATGCGCGCGGGCTTCCAGGGTCCTCTTCCGACTCTGGTGTCTCTAGGACTCCATCAACGTATAATGGCTCGTCATAACCGTCCCCTGGGTTTGGACGGCTCAGGATCGATGGCTCAGGAGGACCAGTAGCCTTGGAACGAGGCTGGTTAAATTTGCGGCTCTGACCCCAGGAAACAACGCGAGGTTCGCTGGGACCCGGACCGTAGGGGTCATCCGCGGAAGCAATCTCGCCCGCAGCACGCGAGATGTAAGGTTTGAAGATCTTCTCATCTTCCGTCGTAGCGCCGGGGGTAAGTGATAAGCTGTAGCCCCTCGAGTGACGTCTCCGTCGCGCTTCAGCTAGCCGCCCTACGATCCGGTCATCTGAATGAGAGTAGCTTGTCGATGACTTCCGGCGATGCCTGTATTCTGTGGCGCGGAAGTCAATCGTATAGGGGAGGAACCTATCAAAACCGATCAGATACCATTTCGACCAAAAGAATGGGAGACAAGGAACGAGTGAGATGACTTACAGTGAGACAAGAAAGACCGTCATTGATTAGATGTTTTGAGAGTTGAGGACCTCTCTACCAGTGCTTGAGGGGAAAATCTACTTGTGTATGTACCCACTGTTCAAGAAGAATACGATCGATTAAGGTTGGTATGTGCAGTATAACGGTCTGCAGTGAGACTTGAACATCTGTGTTTTCCGGGCCAAGGGATGATGAAGGTTGAAGGTCCAGGTCTACATTCTATATGTTTTGCAAACCAATGGAACAGCGATCCTGAAAATTCCGGCGGGAAGTTAGACAACCGAGAAGCATAATGAATGACCCAAGGAATGACGGTCGCTGCTATTGGACCATGGAAATCGAGCGGTTGTGAGAGAGCAGGTGAAAGAGTAAAAAGAACATTCTGGGCTTTTCGAGGGGACGAAACCAAGAACGCGAAAAGCAGGTGATGGAGGCCTCAAAGGAGGGGTATCTCTCTGCCTTGGGCGTGATTTGGGCGCGGGGCTCATGAGATGGAATCATGGAATTGAGGTTATTGGTTTCACAACGTGACCAACCGCATCAGAAAAAAACAGAACCTGCCTGGAAACGTGGGAATAGTTCGTTCAAGCTGTCCTGGACTGTTGTTCACTGTCCAATCGCACCCATGACGTCTTGATTCCCGGGCTGATCCGCGGGTCGGTTTTACCCACTGCGCTAAGATAGCGTTAGGCGATGATTCTCGACAGTTCGACAAGTCTAGACCCACACGCGTGTTCTATCAATCAGGGAAAATGTCCTGCAAGAGGGGAAGCACATGGAACCTGACGAGGGAGAGTCATTCGGTCGTAAGGAGTTGGCTATCCCACCTGAGAAGTGTGCGAGAGTTGGGCAGGAAAAGGGCCACCATGGGGAGATAGTAGTATGAACGAAGAAGAGAGGGAAGTGGATACTTGCTGGATCACGGCATCCCGTGAACGAAAAGGACCTTAAGCCTGTTTTGGGCGGCAGAAGACAAAAGACTCAAACAAGACAATTCAGACCAAACCTGGCATCACGAGTCGTTCCTTTTCCGAGTGTTGATATCGATCGATCAGGTCATCACTTGTTCCCCACCCTGGCGGTATCCACGCTCCCATATGCCTCATCGCATTCATAATATAATACTATCTTCGTAACCCTATCTACAAAAACTTTAATTGCCTCTTCTCCCATATCTTCTGTTTCCACCTCAGACACCCCTCTCGAGCTCTGTCTATCCCCTCATGGCTTCCACCGACTCATCGCTGGGCGACTCACGCCTGCTGATCGTTTCCAATCGCCTTCCCATCACCATTAGACGATCTGAAAATGGCAAGTATGAATTTTCGATGTCTTCCGGCGGACTAGTGACCGGATTGAGCGGTCTGTCCAAGACAACAACCTTCCAATGGTACGGTTGGCCAGGATTGGAAGTCCCGGAGGATGAGGTCCCTTCTGTGAAACAGAGACTCAGAGACGAATTCGGCGCAACTCCGGTCTTCATGGATGACAAGTTAGCGGATCGTCACTACAATGGCTTCTCCAGTAAGTGCTTTTCCTCTAATTCCGGCGCCAGTGTCAGACTTGCAGCCACCTTCTCCCTGGCTGATACCCTAGCAGCGGGGCCGTGCTAATGTGACTCACTAGACTCGATCCTTTGGCCTCTCTTGCACTATCATCCTGGTGAGATTGTGTTTGATGAGGGTGCCTGGGATGCCTACCGCGAGGCAAATCTTCTATTCGCCAAGACCATCGCGAAGGAAGCTCAAGAGGGTGACCTGGTCTGGGTGCATGACTATCATCTCATGCTTCTTCCGGAATTGCTTCAGGAGCAACTGAATCTTTTGGGAAAGAGGAATATTCGGATTGGATTTTTCCTCCATACACCATTTCCCAGTAGTGAGATCTACAGAATTCTGCCCGTTAGAGCCGAACTTCTGCGAGGTTTGCTGCATTGCCACTTGATCGGCTTCCATACCTATGACTATGCACGCCACTTCTTAAGTAGCTGTGCTCACATACTGTATGTATAACAAGAACCTTCTCTTCCTAATAATGCACCAGCTAATACGTCTCTCCAGCGGATTGGTGACGACCCCTAGCAGCGTGAAATACGAAGGCAGGTCTATCAATGTCGGGGCTTTCCCCATTGGAATCGACCCCGACAAGTTCACTGAAGGCTTGAAGAGCCCAAAGGTGCAAAATCGCATCGCGAGCCTTGAGAATAAATTCCAGGGAACAAAATTGATGGTCAGTGTTGACCGCCTGGATTATATCAAGGGTATCCCTCAGAAATTACACGCCCTGGAAGTCTTTCTCCAAAACCATCCAGAATGGGTGGGTAAGGTCGTCCTGGTACAGGTGGCAGTCCCAAGTCGTCAGGATGTCGAAGAATACCAGAATTTAAGAGCGGTAGTAAATGAGCTAGTGGGCCGAATCAATGGCAAATTCGGTAAGCCCGGTCTTTGTGACACTCATATGATAGCTCCACGCTAACCAATACAAAAGGAACGGTGGATTACATGCCAATTCACTTCATGCACAAGTCGGTGAGCTTCGACGAACTCATTGCTCTATATGCGGCATCAGATGCCTGCATTGTTTCTTCGACTCGCGATGGAATGAATCTGGTATCCTTCGAGTACATCGCAACTCAACAGAAACGCAAAGGCGTTTTGATCTTGTCTGAGTTTGCCGGTGCTGCTCAGAGTCTCAACGGAAGCATTGTCGTGAATCCATGGAACACCGAAGAGCTAGCAGAGGCATATCATGAGGCAGTTTCGATTAGCGAAGAACAGCGAGCCGTTCAATTTGCAAAGTTGTACAAGTATATCTCGAAATACACAAGGTATGCCTATATCTAGATGGTATCGTTCTTCTTCGGCAATACTAACATTGCGTAGTGCTTTCTGGGGTCAGTCGTTTGTGGCCGAGTTGTCTCAATGCTCATCTTGATTGACTAGAATCTATCTTTCCTTCATTCTCTTAAGTGTTTCAGGGTACAGTCAAGCGTGGCGGTTATGTTTCTGTTTCGTGACGGCATAGCATTTGATTCTAATACATAGATCTAATGACGTTCTGACAAGGCTTAGCAACAGTCATATGTTTAATTCAGGTTAGAAAGCCATACAGTGACCGGGTGTTAGCGGTTGGCATACTACAAATCAATACATGAGTCAATGATTTTAAGTTTTCATACCTGCGAAAGCTTCGGTATCTTAACCCAAGTGCAACAACATATATGAATAGAAAAGGATAGGGCAACATAGATTTCCTGAGATAGGGAACAGGAGCTATTAAATATATCCACTTGACGGCACTGAAAATCAGTCTCAGTAAAAAGTTTACTGCCAAGCATCCACATTCTTCTTAACAAAATCAGCGAAAGAAGTTGGTTCGGCATCAAGCAGCTTCAAGCTCTCATCCAAGCTTTGTCCGAGAAAATACCCAGGCGACTCAATCAGTAGATGATTCTCGAGGAATTCCTGAGCCACGGGCGGCGGGAGAACCGCTTTATATTGATCGGCGGACACCGACACAAAGACAGCCTTCTTTCCCGTTACCTCAGTAAAGATTTTCACAATCTCTTCGGCGGTATAGTAGCCAGCAGCTTCTAGAACCTGCTTCCCATTCAACTCAGAAGCATGTTTAATGACCGCTTTGACGAAAAGGCCTATTTATTGTTAGATATACTCAAACCCTTCTAGTGTTTCCCAGGATCCGCAAAAACAAACTTACCGGTATCGCTCGCAGCATCGAACAAAGGAAACTTGGCCTTAGCACCATTGACCGGATAGAAAAGCTGATAGGTGCCGTCGTCACCCTTTCTCAGCATCTGTAGGTAATTAAGCATAAAGTAACCCGCCAGAACGAAAGTGCAGGGGACACCCGAAGCACGGATGTATCTTTCTATTTCAGCCTTGCCATCGAAATGGGGCACATGGCTGAGTCGTCCATTAGTGGAGTCGGTGACGTGGACGAGAGAAGAGAAGATCAGGTGCTGGACGCCGAGTTCTTTGGCTACATCGGCGACATTCTTGCCCTGGGTGACTTCGGTGTCCTTGTCAACGTATTCCCAGTAGTTGGTTACTAGGAAGATGGTATGGGATCCGTCGAGAGCTGTGCGGAGGGATTCGACAGAGTTCAGGTCAGCCTATGTGAGGTTAGTTAGGAGCTTTTGCAGGCCCACTGGAGTGAGCTCATGTAGGATTTGTAGACTGACCGTGACGACCTCCACTCCACGCTTTTGCAGCTCCTGAGCGGCGGGCTTGCTGGTATCGCGGGTGATGCCTCGGATCTTGAACTCTTTGGAGAGCCGGGAATCAGCCAGAATGTGGTTGATCACGGAGCCGCCCTGGTTGCCCGTGGCACCGAAGACAGTGATAAGCTTGGACATGTTGGCAGCAGTTTTCGTGGACTGATGATAGTTGAGTGTTGATATCTAGCACTCGTATGGAATGCTATCAGATTTCAGAGTTATGGTGTTTGCTTTTGGTAGTTGAATCTTGATCCAACGAGACGGATTGTTTCCAGTCTTATACATCCTGGCTCTCTACATTGGATGTCCTCTATTGTATCTCTTACCCCTCAGTTAACATTGGATGTTCTGCATATGTTCCCTGAATCCCTGTAGTATACTGCGCAGGAGATATCTAGAACTGGAAATCCTATTGGTTGAATAAGTTAGTCAGCTTTCTGAGCTTAGTCACGTCTGTCACTTTGCACAGTCACTTCGGGTTTACGGGGTCCGAGCTGATTAATGCGCCACAGAATGCTATGGTAACATCGTAGCATGAACAAGTCGATATGCATTACGCACCATGCGTTGTTTGGTATCTCGGGATGCTTCGGTAAGACGGAGTTAATAAAGTGAGCTACGGAGTACTGTATTTACCCTTTCTCTTTTTCCATACTTTTGTATTTTTGGTTCCTCTGTCCTCTCCGAACGATCCTCAAGCGATCAAACATTCTCTTTCAAGTCATTCGGTAGTTATGTCTATCATTACATCATGATTATTATCCCGCTGGATCTACACAATAGGTGAAAGTCTACCTTAAATGGAAGCTTCACGGCACGCTAATCGATGGTTGCAAAGGTACTAAGGTCGTCCTCTCAAGATTGCGGGGTTAACATCATACGAGTTCCATGCCGCAGGTCTGACCCCTTTGATACGGTCGGTGAACTTGGCTCAGTTTCGTTCGGCTTTTAATTCCCCCAACTTTATTATTCAGAGACATACATTGGGACTAGATGTCTTGACTGTCCCGAGACATTGATTGAGTTACAAACCATGTGATAAGATAGGGTTATATCACAAAGTCTATCAAATGCTGGACTACCATTGGCGAGGTCAGAAACGTGGACTGATGGAGTCGTGAGATAATGTGGACATCATCTGGGGCAAAAAGATGTGCCATCTACTTCCCCTGTACAGAAGTACTCCGCATTATAGGGAAGTTACTGCCCGTCGTCCCAAGGATAAGGGTACGCGGCTTGTGGCCAGGAATGACGTGGGCGTAACATATCCCGTCCCAACCAGCAACTTCCCGCCATTGTGTTTGGTTTCTCAAAGTGAGGACCAAACCAATGATACCGATAAATCGATCGCTGTGAGTTTAATGATGGACAATGGCCACCGCGTACGAGTACCCCCTGTGAGACGTTGTCGAATCCGCTCGCACAGAATGCAATTAACTTCTTTCAGCAGGGATTACGCTTCACAACGGGTTCCCACTGGCAAGCCGATGGACCATGAATTTACTCAAGTAAGCATGGGAAGACGATAATCACGTTTTTCCAGACCGCTATGGAATGCGGATCGCCCAGTAGTTCGAGGTCAAGCCTCACTTACCCGGGAGATGGCATGCTTTTTGTGGCTTGGCCACGGGCCAGGTCCCACGGTCTGGTCGGACAAACACCCTCAAACCATGCTACGATGTACTCCGTACTCCGTATTTATCGTTCAACATTGCGCATGGATAAAAATAAAGATAATAATGGATGAAAGACGAAGTGACAAGGGATTGGACATCAAAGGACCCTGAACCCGGGGGAAGGAAAAGTCTAAAAGTCTAAAAGGGAAATGCAGAGGGAGAATCGTCGAAGAAAGCTTCCAAGAGCGGATGAGGTATCCACGCCAAGCCCCCTGGACAGCCAGGGTCTGGGACTAGGCTTTCTTGTCACGTCTGGCCATCCCTTCAGAAAGGGGTTTAGTGTGATGGGTCCCTGGGCTGCTCTAGCCAGATCTTGTCCTCTGCCAAGGCGGACGCTTGCGCGTCTCCGCCACTATCTTGGACGGCTGCCGTAATCCTGTAACACCGAGTCGTTTGGTCCTTATTTTCCGAATCGAGTTGGAAATGGGTTCAATTATGCCCTAGAACCAGGTCGAACTTGTCCCCAAATATGTGCCCTCCTACATGCATACATACATGACTATTGTAAAGTCCCTGTTGTCATGTTATGTAGGTGGCAATTCTGAGAAAGGGACGTTTGAAGACATTAACAACTGTCAATCAAGTGGAGATGCATTCATCAGAGTGCAGAAAGCCGCGTATGCACTTGGCTTAGGGACACAGCAGGTCCTTTCATATGTACAGTACATACGGAGTCTGAATGGATGTATTGTTTGTACATCGGTATACGTACAGCGCGTGGCATATAATTAGCGGCCAATATTGTATGAAACTCAAAGTATGAGGAAGAAGAGGAAAGTAATTTCGAAGAATTTTGGATTAGGCTCGACAATTCGGGATCATGCCCCCTTGATTGAAGTTTGACTCTCAGCAGAAGATCATCACGATCATCGCCTTACCAGTTGTACTGGCTTACCTGGCTAGCCGGCTGGCGTGGCCCAGATCTGATTGATTGTCTCCAGACTTTGTCAATGATGGCGTATGCTCATGGAAAAATTCTTTCAATGGTCGTTCAATTATTAAGACATCTTGGATTTCAGATCATGTCTATATTATATCCAACTGTTGATGATTCGTCAGCAAAGGTGGGAAGCGGGTCCTCAAGGTCTACGAGAGGCTGTGGTTGAGAGTTCTTCTGGTGATGGGTCATGACATTCGTAAGGCTACGGTTCAAACCGCCCCTTTGAATTTCCTGATTGATCTGGAAGAGGGTCCATTCTGCCCTCTTTCTTGCCCTGAGAAAGGACGATAATTGTCGGGTTCCCAAGTTTAACGCCGAGTGTGCCGAGAGGGCTCCCCCGAGCGTTCTCTAAATGGCACCGCGTGCTGTCTAACGTGCACGGTTGCGCATCCTTAGGAAACGATGGTGACATTTTTAGTCTGTTGATCAGAGAGCCGCGTAAGACCGAGCTGACGCCGTCATTTGGGCTGTACCACCAGATGGAGAAAATGAGTCCTCCATGAACCCTCTATGGATTGGAGTTGGACTGCATGTACTGTACGTATCACAAGCAGCGGATGATAACAGGTTGGGGTTTATCAAAGACCAAATGGATTGCGTAGTCATGTATGTCGAGTCGCAGGGGATGAGACCATCCAGAAGGATAAAATTCCACGCGGACAGGGCCAAGCTTTTAAGAGATTCATCAGCATACTCCTCAGCCGGTGGAGAGCAATAACCAGATTGACCATCAGATGCGAATGAAAAGATATCTCAAAAGCTTCCTGTTCGTCAAGTTAGTGGAGCCGGACATCTACCGTCGTGAAATCTTGTCAATTGTGTCGGGATAAGCCGTTGGAGGGTTGGAGATGACAACCAATTTGACTGCCGTGCCAAGAGAAAGTAGAGTATACAAGAGTGTATTGCCAAATCCTTCGGGACACAGAGCGTCAACGGATGGAACCAGTTTAGTCTTGCGGGCAGCGAAAGGGTCTTGGCCATGGTTCAGTTTACTGTTTCGGGGCGGCACACACGCGGCTTGCGGTGCAAATGCTGCACCCTGATTGGGACGACGACCCCAAGGCTGACGACGCTTCGCCCTCGCTGCTGGCGTGGAAAAAAAAGATCCAATGACCTGAAAATTCATCAACTAGTAGTAGTTTAGTTGCGCTTCTCTCTCTTCTCTGTTTCTCCCTCTCCACTTGGACTGACCCTCTCATTCTTCCTCCCTCTCTCTCTCCCTTTTGGGATCTTCTCACCTCTCTCTCCTCGAGGTATATCGGTTTTTTTTTTTTTTTTTTTTTTTTTTTTTTTTTTTTTTTTTTTTCCCTTTTCGCCCCTAATTAATTCTTTCCCCCTCGGCTTC